CGCTCCCGCTGCCGCCCTCGCCCCCTCTCTCTCTCGCGCTCTCTCTCTCTCGCTCTCTCTCTCTCGCTCGCTCTCTCTCTCTCTCTCTCTCTCGCTCTCGCTCTCGCTCTCGCTCGCTCTCTCGCTCGCTCTCGCTCTCGCTCGCTCTCTCGCTCTCGCTCGCTCTCTCTCTCGCTCTCGCTCTCTCTCGCTCTCTCTCTCGCTCTCTCTCTCTCTCGCTCTCTCTCTCTCTCTCTCTCGCTCTCGCTCTCGCTCTCGCTCTCGCTCTCGCTCTCGCTCTCGCTCTCGCTCTCGCTCTCGCTCTCGCTCTCGCTCTCGCTCTCGCTCTCGCTCTCGCTCTCGCTCTCGCTCTCGCTCTCGCTCTCGCTCTCGCTCTCGCTCTCGCTCTCGCTCTCGCTCTCGCTCTCGCTCTCGCTCTCGCTCTCGCTCTCGCTCTCGCTCTCGCTCTCGCTCTCGCTCTCGCTCTCGCTCTCGCTCTCGCTCTCGCTCTCGCTCTCGCTCTCGCTCTCGCTCTCGCTCTCGCTCTCGCTCTCGCTCTCGCTCTCGCTCTCGCTCTCGCTCTCGCTCTCGCTCTCGCTCTCGCTCTCGCTCTCGCTCTCGCTCTCGCTCTCGCTCTCGCTCTCGCTCTCGCTCTCGCTCTCGCTCTCGCTCTCGCTCTCGCTCTCGCTCTCGCTCTCGCTCTCGCTCTCGCTCTCGCTCTCGCTCTCGCTCTCGCTCTCGCTCTCGCTCTCGCTCTCGCTCTCGCTCTCGCTCTCGCTCTCGCTCTCGCTCTCGCTCTCGCTCTCGCTCTCGCTCTCGCTCTCGCTCTCGCTCTCGCTCTCGCTCTCGCTCTCGCTCTCGCTCTCGCTCTCGCTCTCGCTCTCGCTCTCGCTCTCGCTCTCGCTCTCGCTCTCGCTCTCGCTCTCGCTCTCGCTCTCGCTCTCGCTCTCGCTCTCGCTCTCGCTCTCGCTCTCGCTCTCGCTCTCGCTCTCGCTCTCGCTCTCTCTCTCGCTCTCGCTCTCTCTCACTCTCTCGCTCTCTCTCTCACACACACACACACACACACACGATGCGCAACACTCCGCATTTGAACAGTCAATAGCAAATACTTAAACTAATAACAAAACAGTAGCTGATTCAGAAGCGCCAGATTGTCATAGCAAAGTCAGAATGACCTCCTCTCCTAGGTTCACGAAACGGTCGTCCATAAAATGCATTGCTGTTCTGTTGTAAGTAATCTTAAAGATTCCTAAATGCATCTACTTCCGGAAGGCCAAATAAAGTGCTTTTGCTTTCGTCTAGAAACACACAGCGTCTCCCTGACATGCTGCTTCAACACTAACTGCGGTTACTGAAACCACGCCTTCTTTCTTTGCGTGCACATTTGGGTGCATTATGCTAATATTTCCACATAGTGATGTAGATATGTGGGGGCGTGTTAGAACGAGCCGTTTTAGGGGGGCAAGAGTCTTAACTTTGATAAAGAATATCTCTTTGGTTTTGAGACTTTAGTCTTTGTAACTTCAGGGATCTTATCTATCAGCTTGTAACACTCAGAAGAGAAAGGAAAACTTGAAATCGCATCATATGACCCCTTTAATGTATCTTCTGAGTATTAAAGGGACAGTTCACTCCAAAATTAACATTGTCATAATTTACTCACCAAACCCATAATTCGTCTTCCAAACAGTCATTTAACAGCAGTTTAATGAAACCTGGGGTTTTCTATCTCATCATTGAAGAAATCTTCAAAGATTCAAAAAGGTAAAGGTTTTGGGTGAACTGTCTCTTTAAATACTCAGTTCATAATGCATATATAAATACATGTTCATTAATACATTTTCTCAATATTATTATTATTATTTTATCAAGTATACATTTTAACGATATTCATTAATTTATTTGTATTTGTTCGAAAAATAATTCGATTTTTCGAAGCACTTGAAACGGCACATGCTGGCGACACCTGCTGGTGAAAACATTGTAGAAGCATCAAGAACTCAGACCAAACATACAAAACAAATGGAAATGTTTTTTTTTTTTTTTTTTGAAATACCATTTTTAAAAAATAAATACACTTAAATACTATTAAATATTAGTGCTTGTGTTATGTGTTTTATTTAAGTATAATCAAACCCTTAACACACAACGAACTAAATTAGTTATTTAATGAATTAAAATTAATTTTGATTTATGTAATTATTTAATTAAACCAGCAGGCAAGAGTAGTATCCCGCCCATTCTAAAGCGATACTAAACTGCAGTGGAAACGCAAACCGAGCCGTGCCGTACCGTACTGAGCCGTACCGAGCCGAGTCGTACCACGCAGTGGAAAAGCGCCATTTGAGATCAACACCCCCTAGTGGTAAACCATCGGAGTTTCGAAACGCTTCGAAACAGTGTGACGTAGCGAAGCTTCGTTTGCTAAAATCACGTGACCTGGCCGGTTTGATACGTGCTCTGAAACACTGATTCGAAACAAAAGATTCTCAAATGTTTCGAAGCTTCGTGAAGCAGTGTTTCGAACGCGCCCATCACTAGTTCACACGGTTCTCTAGACCAGTGTTTCCCAACCGGGGTGCCGTCTGTCGAGAGCAGGGGTGCCGTGTAAAAAAAATCATTTATTAAATCGAAGTTAGAAATTCAAATATTGTGACCAAATTAATTTTGTAGGGTGCCACAAGTTTGTTAAAATTTCCAAAGGGTGCCGCGACTAAAAAAAGGTTGGGAAACACCGCTCTAGACTAGTGGTCGACCGATGCCGATATCTTGGAAAATCAGGGTGGCCGATATAAAGCCGATATAATTTTATTTATTTTAATATTTAAGAAATTTGAAAATTGATTAAAAAATAAATATCATACTTTAGATGACAAGGTATTTTTCACAAATAAATATTTAATAAAAATATAATTAAACAGGAAGTAAACACTGTAACTAGCAGGGCACTCAGTATTCTGGGAAGTTTGTGTGCATTAATCATATTTTTTTCAAATAAAGCACACAGCTGGATCCGACTAAGTTTGCAAGATTTTTGAAATTTAGATGTTTATTAGACATTCAAAGATTTGTTTAGATTAAATAAATGCTGACGGCAAACGAGAAAGTATTATAATGTTTGCCTTTCTATTACTAATAATATAAAAGCAATCGTTAGAAGACATTTTTTGTATACATTTTAATTCCTTTGTTTAACTGTTCTATCTGATATTCTATCCGTATGAGACAGAACTGTTGACGACAGCGAACGAGGGAGAATGTGAGCACTGTGCGCAGGTGCTGCCGTTCTCAGCGCCGTCAAAATAAAAGTCCCTCTTTGAACACATTGGCCAAACGGGAAAAACTTATCGGCCGACGCCGATAAAAAAAAAAAAAAAAGCCAAATATCGGCCGATATATCGGTCGACCACTACTCTAGACTGTAACACATGAATGCATTTGGCTCTTCCTGCAGGTCTTCCTCCCTCCGGCAGCTGGCAGGATCTGAAAGACCACATGCGGGAGGCCGGAGACGTGTGTTTCGCTGACGTGCAGCGTGACGGCGAGGGTGTCGTCGAGTTCCTCAGACGAGAGGACATGGAGTACGCACTGAGACGCCTGGACAGCACAGAGTTCAGATCCCACCAGGTCATTAAAAATCAAAAGAAAAGAAACTCGGACATATTCAGTTCATCCCTCTGGGTTTTTATTGTTTTTTCAATTATAAGGTTATTCAGTAAAACTTTTTATTGTTTGAGATTAATCTCTAATTGTCCTTTTGAAGTGAGACTTCTCATGCATCAGTGGTTTAACCCCTTAACTGTCACCCCCCATTTTTTTTTAAATAGGCATTGAAAGTGCACTATCCAAACTTAAATTGTTGTAATTTATGAACACTTTGGAATACAGACCTACGGTTGGTCTCTTTCTAAAGAAGAAAGCAGATTATTGCAAAAGTGGGGTTTATTTTTTTCGAAATATTAAAGTATCAAAAAGTTATAGAAGTTTACATTTTCTGTAAATAAAATGCACTATATTAATGGATTTTATTTATAATAAATATTTTACATAACAGGTTTTACTCTAAAAATTGGTATAAAATTAAAGCCTTGTGTCTAAATAAGTTATGTTCCAAATTTGAAGTTGATATGAAAAAAATGGAGGTACCTGTGAGATTTTATTTGGCCGTCATACCACAAACAGCCACCGGGCGCCATAAAAACTCCATTTAATTTTTTAATGCATTTTCCTGTTACGAATGTCTAGATTTCTGTCAATATTACTTCTAACCCAGCTAAAGTAATTTTTTGTGTGATTTACTGTTTTCTACATAAAATCATCCTTCATAAAGATGTAGAACATTCTGTGAAAATATAGCCTTTATATCTTTAATATTGACTGAGTAAGGCCATGTCAAAGATTGAAATCATAGTGAAATTAATGGTTGAACTCAAACTTTGATGCTTGTTATCTCCTAATGAGATGGAGACTTTATCCTGGATTTCACAGACAGGGTCACATTTTTTCAGATCCGATCCCAAAAATTCTGAGTATTGACCGATACTGATCCAATACTAGCACAGTTTATTTATTTATTTTTAATCATTGTAGAATTTCTAAACCTCTGTGTGTTGACCTGATCATCACTGTGTTGTGTGTTAAACACAATCTACTAAATATAGACAACTTCGTTATACAGAGAAAAAAACAAATGAAAAAATATATAATCATAATCTATGACAAAAATACTATTAGAAACTAGGTTAGTGGATGATTCAGCAGCTAAAAAATTATGAGTGCACATTCATTTGATAAAATCTAAACATTTAGTGAAAAAAACATTACTTAGTGGGGAACAAATCAAAGTCTGATCAAATGTTACACATTATATTAAGTAAATATATTCATATATAAATGAAAATACATTTATTTTAAATGTAGAGCACAGTAATGAGGCAGCAACATATGACAGATAGGACAGAACAAGAATAATTAATTATTAATATTAATAATCTTTCATTGCGCAAAAATCGGAGAGATGCCGATACTGAATATCAGCATCCCTAGTTTATACACATTAATATTTCTGTTTATCACATAAAGTTTCAGATACACTACCATTTAAATTATAATGGTATTTTTCTTCTTTTAACTTTTTTTTATTTTGATCATTAATTTAAAAAAAAAAATTTTACAGTCTAGTTCTGTTATATGTTTGTGTTTGTTAATGAATAAAAATGGGGTCAGTAAGATTAAGAAATTAATGCTTTCATTCAGCAAGGATGCATTAATTAAATTGATCAAAAGTGACTGTAAAGACATTTATAATGTTCCAAAAATGATTTCAAATAAATGCTGTTCTTTTGAACTTTCTGTTCATGAAAGAATCCTGAAAAATAAAATGTATCACGGTTTCACTGAGAATTTTTAACATGCGTATATTCACATAGAGCTGTTTGAAACTGCAATAATATTCCACAGTATCTTTACTGTATTCTTGATCAAATAAATGCAGCTTAGTGAGCAGAAGAGACTTCTTTTAAGACAAATCTTACCAACTCCTAACTTTTAAAAGGTAGTGTATATTTTAGTCTACAGTTTAATATTTTTGCATATAATCTGATTATTTTTGCATAGACTTCTGATGTGAGGTTAGGTGGTTTCAGGACTAGCGATGATATACTTTTAAACAGAAAATCAAATCTTAAGTGCATTCTAGTGATCATAATGATTTCTCTTTTAACCTACTATTTATCTATATGTAATGCACATCGAAGCAGCTAACCAGGTTACAATTCACTGCAAGTTATATCCTATGTGTCCCTGCAGCACAAAAGCAGTGTTAAGTCGCTGGGGGATATTTGTAGCAATAGCCAACAATACATTGTATGGGTCACAATTATACATTTCTCTTTTATGCCAAAAATCATTAGGATATTAAGTAAAGATCATGTTCCATGAAGATATTGTAAATCTCCTACCGTAAATATATCAAAACTTAATGTTTGATTAGTAATATGCATTGCTAAGAACTTCATTTGAACAACTTTAAAGATGATTTTCTCAATATTTAGATTTTTTTGCACCCTCAGATTCCAGATTTTCAAATAGTTGTATCTCAGCCAAATATTGTCCTATCCTAACAAACCATACATCAATGGAAAAGCTATTTATTCAGCTTTCAGATGATGCATACATCTCAATTTTGAAAAATTGACCCTTATGACTGCTTTTGTGCTCCTGGGTCACACATTCATAAAAATTCTGAAGTCATGTTTTTGTCCAGCGTCTCATGAATCAGTGGCTTGTTGATGTCTGTGTTTCTGAATATCAGTGTTCGTTCATCAAAGTTCATTGTTTGTGGCGCAGGGAGAGACGTCCTACATCAGAGTGATGGAGGAGCGGGGCACAAGCTGGGGTCGCTCCCGCTCCCGCTCCAGGTCTCGAGGACGATACTCACCCCCGTACCAGAGCAGAGGGTCACCGCCGCCCCGTTACCGATCACCCCCGCGTCACATGACCCGCCATAGCCCACCCTCCCGACGAGCCCCGCTCCAGGATCACAGCCCTCCGCCGCGCCACTATCGATGAGCGGCTGCCTCTCCACCGACACCACCCCGTTTCTTTCTTAATTTAGTAATTTACATTCCATTGTAGGAACCCGAATGGCCTCGTTCACCGTTCGGTTCACGGAGAGCTTGCGGATATGTTAATGATCACGTGGATGATGCTGTAGATGCTTACAGATGTGGTTATGATTGTGAAAGATCTGAAGATGAATAACCCGTTTATCCTTCGGGATTATTGACACGAGGCAACAGACTAAAGATGTGTTGTTTGTGATTAATCTGGTCCATTGCGTAGACATTGACTTTTATTATTTTTTTTTATGATTTGAATAAAAGGCTGCGATTTTAAAATGTTTCTTTCTGGAATCTCCCCATGCCATTATTTTTCTTCTTCTTCTGGGTTTGTATCATGTGATGATTGTTTGCATAATTATTTTTTTTTTTGCAATTAAAGCATTGAATCAAAGTTACTCCGTACCGAGTCGTTTTTACAAAACTGCTGTTTTGCAGGTCACTGGATTATTGGTAATAAAATTGTGCATGCTACTTTATTTTACAGTGCATTATTTAAAAATGCATTATTAAATGTTGGTTAATGATGCATTAAATGTTGAAATGATCATTAAGATGAATAGTTTACAAATATCGCTCGTTTATGTTAATGTAGTTAATGAAAGCTTATTGTAGTGTGTTAATTAATTTTCTATAGCAGTTATTTTTTCATTAATATTGAGCTGGGCTCTCAACATTTCCTTTTTAAGCAGATGCATATTTAATTAATTAGATGATTTCTTGTATCATCACGTAATTGTTTAAATCTTTTAATTTCAAGGATTGCTAGCAAATGGAAAACATAATCACAGCTGATTAAAAGCATGGAAATGCATTAATGTGTGAGAAGCCCATTTCAGGCTAATTGGCACAATCAGGCTTTTTAGTTTAATTGCTCATTTGGTGTAATAGACTGATATATTCTGATTTGACTAGACGTCATTGATTTATTTGGCCAATCAGCGCTCGCCACTGACTGAGGTGACCAATCAAATCAAAGAAGGCGGGGCTTTAATGCACACTGAAGTCGAATATGAATTTCAGCGCCACGGAGTCACCATGGAAACGGAGTAAAGGACGCTAAGAAAAAGCGCGCCATACTGCGTCTTTCTTCTTTTGTTCGCCATTTTGGGTCACTCTACAGCAATGTCCACTTTTGCTATGGCAAGATTTCTTAAAATGTATTTATTTTTCTAACATTTAAACTTAGTCCACAATGTTAGATTACATTTTGACTTTATGAATACATATAAATGACAGTTTAAAGATTAAAAAAAAAATAATTTGGTGCAATTATTTAAAGACCACATGTACCGTTTTTTTGTCGCTGCTGCTACCTTCTTTAGCAATATTAAAGGTTTTTATGAAATATTATTTCTAGGGCTGGGCACTCGATTTTTCGATTAATCGTTTTTTTTAAATGACGTCGATTTGATATCGATTCTCAAAAGCCGCAAATCGATCTTTTCCGGGATTTATTTCAGCACACATTTAAAACAAGATCTGATTAACGTGAATCTTATCATTAGTCTTCTCCACTAGATGTCCCCCTTATTTACCTTGCGCTATGTTACAAGAGAAATCCAGTCATTCATTCAGCGCTTACCATGGCCATACGCGCAATTCGCAATGCTCAGGTGAAGTGCTATAGTAATACTA